TCTACGGGAAACGTGCTTATTTGTTAGGGACTTGATTTGCATGATTGTGCTAGTCAGAATTCGGTTCATTCACAACACTACTACAAGTGATGTCCAAATTTCTGCTTTCGGTACTCTGATAATTCAACAATGGACATCAGAGTGATAAATGTTTCGACGACTACTAAGAGGGGTAGAGAGCCGACATTTTCAGTGTTTTTTCGAAATGGCGGATGAAATACCGGGTGCAGAGGCATATTGACGCAGCAAGTTCTCTGATTTAGTGAAAGACATTTAAAGCTCTTTCATAATTGTGAAAACCATCGCCAGATCATTTAATTGGAATTATAAAAATTTTATCTGAAGTTACGATTCGAAATAGTTTTGGCAGAGGATGAAACATATCTTTCACAGCCACCCCTCGCCTTCATGATAAAAATCTAATTTCAAATTACCTGGAAAAGTATTGTTTTATCATTAAAACCAGATTACGAAATTTGATTTACTTCTGGCTCTTAGAGAACTTTCTTAATTTTTATAACCAAAAGATCTGCATCTGTTTTGTGACTGAAAATATTCGACTTCTCATTATACATCTTTGTAAATTTGGAGCACAGTTCCGACAGCATCATAAGAATTTCTTCTTATTTCTTGAAGAATAAGCATTTCGTACCTTTTTTCAGTTTCATTAATCATTTTTATAAATACTCACATTTTGAATTTTTTCTTATCCTCCATCGTCAATTATTTCAAACTTCAAATCGATCTCCAGCTTTGAAGAGGTCCAAAAACACAATTTCCTTTTGTTAGAACAATAATTTTTTGAGTTCAACTCAAACTGTCTGTATTTTGGCACTGACCATATTTTTCTGATAAAGAAATTTAGGGATGATCGGCATTTAAATAGCGGAGGGAATAAAGCGCAATTTTAATTTCTACAAATAACGATATTTAATAATGATTGATAACTAGCTTTTTCACCTTGATATCTGTAGCGGATTGCTACCTTAGTAAAGCCTAACCGACTCAGAGATCTCTATGGCAGATTCTCCTACATCTAGCTAGACTCCCAGAACCAGCTAAGCTATAGCCCAGCTATGAAAGGAAACAGACGTGCAGCACGGAGCACATTTATTCAGTACGTATATTGTGGATAAAGTGTGCACGCAGGGAGCTACTCATGATCAGGATGGGGGATTAGGTTAAACAGAGGTTAATGATTGGTCACTGTTTGTAGGGTCGCTGCACACAGAGTTGTACGGCCGCACCTCCCGATCCTGGTGAGCAGCATGCAGGCATACGATGGCGCGCAGAGCGATAACGTGTCCCACATATCTACAGGGCGCCCCAAAAAATATATGCACTTAGAAACTAATTGTAAATGTGGCGGTCAATTAGAATTTCATTATTTTAAAAACGTAAAATATTTTACAGGTATAATTTTATTGTTGTTAAATGCTTGTTCTCGAACTGATGAACGGACGTGGTCTTCCGTAACGCTGTTTGTGAATGATCTCAACAGTTCCATCTCTAATTCGAAAGATGGTAGCTCGCATTGAAGGTTTTCTTTGAATTTCCTTCCTAAATTGTATTGGCACTTTGACTGCGTTTTCTCACTTAAGAATAAATTTATTTCTTCAAAATTTAATCTGGCTGTTTTTTCTTGTGTTCAGGGGGTGAATCCACAAAAAAATATTAAGAGTTAAGTTATAAACTATTTACAATTATTTTAAATTTAGTTAAATGTAATAAAGAGTGGTAAAATGATACTTGTAACTATTTTACCACATTTGAAAAAATGGAATAGTAGTAAATACTACATTTACAATTGTTTTAAGTGGTTATACACTTTTTAGTACACCCTTTATTTGTCTCTTGTAGTCTATAACCAGGATCTGGAAAAAGTTGTTCGGGATGATACTTCTGGTCATTTCCAACGATTGCTCGTTGCTTTGCTCCAGGGCAACAGAGATGAGAGTCCCACTTTTGATCGTAACAAAGCTAAACGGGACGCTGAAGAGATACTAGCTGCGGGAGAAAAAAAGTTGGGAACGGATGAATCGAAGTGAGTTCAAAACCACTTTTTACTAAAATAAGCAAACCCGATTGTGCTGATTATTCCCCTACTCGTTGTTTCAGGTTTAACGAAATACTAATCTCCCGTTCCAATGCGCACTTGAGAGCAGTTTTTCAAGAGTATGAGAAAATCAGCAAGAAGACTATTGAAGAGGCTCTTAAATCGGAAATGTCTGGCGATCTTTTGCGCGCATTTTTAAGTGTCGGTACGTAACTTTTTGGGGGTGGACAGTGTTGTTTGCTTCAAGGTGACATGCCTAATATCCACTTTTTTTAACTGTTACAAATTAGTACGATCAGTTCAGAACAAACCGGCATTTTTCGCTAAAACCTTGCATCGTTCAATGAAGGGACTTGGAACGGACGACGAATCGTTAATTCGTGTAGTTGTCTCAAGATGTGAAATCGACATGGTTCAAATTAAGGAAGCATTTAAGGCTGAATACAAGCAGACACTGGGAGAATTTATCAAAGTAGGTCATCAATTTTGATCTTCATTCACTTTAACACGTTCAATTTTAGAATGATACTTCTGGAGATTATCGTTTGACGCTACTCACCTTGATCGGAGATGAATCATTGGTCAAAAAGTGATATATCAATCACATTACTTTTGACTTTTTCTGACAATATTATTTTACCATACGTAGTCAGCAAAACTGTTTCACCTTTAAAGGTTATTTTAAATTAATGTTTCTTTTAAGATTGACTGCAAACAGAATTGCTGGACTCTCTAAAATATTTTATATATTTATGCAGACTCATGAAGCCACTACGTCAAATATATGTGGGCAAAAAATTAATTCCATTAGTCATAGCAAAGTAAAGTATTAGAATAGTTAGGATAAAGGGTGAGGGGGGGGGGTTGTGGAGGTGTGAGGAGAAACACCCATCCCATCACAATGTTAATTTCCCTCTAGAGGAAAGTGGGATTATATTTTAGTAATCCATGGTAAAGATTCTCATTGTTTCAATGATATCTATGTTTTTTCCTGCGTGCTTGCAAGTGGTTCCCTGTTGGTGGAAATGACTTAGGCCTGATACGTGCGTACACTGATTGAGCCAGAACGTAAGCAGATATGAGCGGAAGATCCTTTGAAGACCATTTCATGTATAAAATGATATCTTTTTGGAAAAAGGTGATTATTCATTACTCTATGATAAGTTATGTTCGCGACTAAAAGAGCTCAGTATCCCTTCATTCAACCCATAGATTCAAATTGAAATCCTATATTTTGTTCAACCACGAATAACATGCGAAGCAGATCTGTGTACCTATAAAAAAGCCTGTATGTGTCTCAAGTTAGCCAATCTCAGGTCATTAAGGGATTGAATCAGGAAGACAAATAATGAAAGTTGAAGCATACATGGAAATATGTAAATGACATAAATCTACCTCACCATCTCTCCGTCTTCGATATTTTTTATATACTTGAAAACTATCAACTTTTTTTCATAATAATGTTAAAAGTTGCCAATAGGAAGCTAATTGGGCTCAAATTCAGACCGACACAAACACAGGCAACGACTGATAACCACTCAAAGATGAATGAACGAATGACTCATGCGGTCACAGGAATGAATAAGCAAATTTAACTTTGAATTTTTGTTGGTGCAGAGTCCGCGCTGACTGTTTCGATTAATCAACAATCTAAAAGCTTTGCAATTAACTTAACAGTATTGTTTAAACTTAGCAGTTGAATAGAAATTAATCATACCTTTTTCTTACTTTTAGTCAAAGATTTTGCATATACCCCTACTTTGGTGCCTCTGCCAAGTGTTTATGTCCCAGAATCAATAATAATCTTTGTGTCATCGGTACATTTCGCCAAATACTCTTTCCTACTAAATTTATCATAGTAGTATGTTTAACATTTCATTTAGATATGATATAATCGCTGTTCTAAACTGGCAATTCATGCCAAGTAGATGAATGTTCAAATCGATTGAATGAAAAGGAGAGAGGACTCTAATGCCCCCTATTTATAGTTTAAAGATGCGTTTTCATTTCGATATTTGCATTTACGTCTTTTCACAATGCCGTTAAATTGGCGTGAATGCTCCCTTCAACAATAAGGCCCGTCTTTCTACCGTCTTGCTCTCTTTCACACATTGACGTCATTCTTATAAAAATGGTGACCCCACTACTATCCTCATTAAAATTTATACAACACTATTCGTATAGACCTACATTCCGGCATTAGTTTAACAGTGGTATTATTGAATTTTTCGCATTTACTATGTGAGCAAAAGTACTTTTGTAAAGTGCTCAGAGAGTGTTGCTTTGATATAGAAAGCTTAACCGAATGAGTAAAATTTTCAATTTTTCAGTAATAGGGAACAAGGCATAAAAATTGCGTATGTATTTTAGCACATCGGAAAAATCAGAAATGGTAATAAAAATATATCAAAATGATTGTTTAAAAATTGTTCTAAATACATCATTTTGATGTGAAATTATCTAAAATGTTAATTTTAAACTTTAATTCTTTAAAGATTGCAGCTATAAATAAGCTGACTAGGGCAACAACAAATTCTATCTAAAAGTCTTCCCTGAAAAGATTATACATTCCCCAAAATAGAGTTCAACTTTTAACCTTAGTTTGCAACTAACCTTGACTGAATTTCATGGTTAAAATGCTTTTAACAGACACTGGGCACTAATGGCTGTAGGTATGTGTAAATGAGACGAAGTGGCGAATTCAACAACTCAGCTTTAACAGCTGGCTTATAAGCTCTGAATATTGTGGATACAATCTCAATATCGGCTCATTTTGAGTCCACTGGTTTAACCTCCCCTCCCCATAAAAAATAAGAAAAGCGATAAATAAATGCGAGTGAAATAAGGTTCGCAATGTTCCAGTTAAATCCCTTGGTATTTCCCGAAATTAGAAAATAGGCACAAGAAAATATGGCCCACTACCCATAACCTTATTTATTCAATACAAGTAGTGGTACTTAGGGACACGTCATCGCCTATGCGTGATCGCATTCGAGTGCAACCAATAGCCAATCAGAAATCTTCGTTTGTTTAAACGGATCTGCCATGTTGATTATGACTAACCTTTCGGCGTGTACTCTTTATCCACAATATACTTCCTAAGTAAACGAGTTCTGTGCGATATCTGTTTCCTCTAAAGCTGGGCTATCTTACCTAGCTTTGGGAGACTAGCCGGTTATTAAATACTGTCATGGAGATTTCTGAGTACAATCAAGGCTTACTAGTGTAGCAATTCGCTACAGTACTCTATATTGCATAAGCTCGATTGAATGATAGTTTTCTGCACACACGGACGCATATTCCAGAATGTTAATTGATGAATGAGTTTCCCTTGACCAGCTATGATAGTATCGTGAACAAAATCCTCACCTCAGTTTCAGTTCCATGTAATTGTCTAATATGGTTTTTGGAGTTAACTTTAACCATCCACTCACCGGAAGCTGAATAGAACATGAACAGACAATGCATAAATGCACTATTGCATCTATAATATTTTGCCTTAGTCCAGAATTAGCTAGTAGTATTAGGAAAATTACCATGCGAAAAAGAGAGCATTTAAAATGAGAAGTAGATAATACAAGCGCTCTTTTCAATAATTTCACACTGTGGGGCGTATTTTCATACCCGCATTCCAACTTCACGCCTCTTCTTTTTATTACAGTCGCATTGATTTGTGAGTATAACATCTCAAAAATAAACAGTAATAAGTGGTCGCAATTAGAAAATTTCACATCCTTTGCTCCAATTCGTACCATTGACACGATCTGTTAATGAATGGGCACCATTTAACCCATAGAAGCACTAAATTTAACAAGCAGGATGGAGTAAGAAATGATTGAAGTGAATTACGAAATGGAACTAAAGAATGGACTGCCTGCAGCAATGTCAATATTTATGCGTGATTTTTCCATCTATCCAGTCAACGGATTGTATATGACGAAACGGAATGAGAACAAATGGGAAGGGTGGGTCAATCACAGCAGCTTGGAAATGGATGAATGGTTAATGCGTGGAACACGCGATAGAAAAGATTGTCAGGATGTGGGTACAATCAGCTCAAACACCATCAGAATATCTAATTGACATCCACAGATACATGAATAACCCCCCTCTGAGAACTTTTGGCCTTGGCACACAAGGAGTACAAAGAATCAAGAAATAATTTAGCAGTAGAAAAGTAGTTGAACCGTCTAGGTTTTTAGTAGAAGGCATCGAAAGCAAGATTGAGGTACATCTCCAATAGAAAAATAAAGCACAGACACATGTAGCTTACTGTTTCAAAGCACGCATGCAAGCGTAATTTAGTAAGGAGTAAGAGAGGTAGAAAGACGGTCGAATAAATTTAAAATGATATCAGGGTGGGGAGAAATAATCACTTTATGAAAGTGGCTACTCCTGTCTCCAATAGTAGAGACTATGTTTGAGTATATCCCAAGCCTTGGATTTACATTAGTCTTGCATACACTCATATTAGTTTGCGTGTTATCGCAAACTTTCTCATTAGCATGCACTACTTCCAGCTTTACAGCAGGAGCGACCTTGAAGGCTTGAAAGGCAGTCAAGCGAAAGTAGAGAGAGATGGATAGATGAAACATATTGGACTTACGCGGAAAACTCAATCAGAGTTAACCCTTTCCATTGAATGAAGCCTACGCTAACCTAAAGGTGATTTTCGTAAATGTCATTTGGTGTATGGAAAAACATCCCAATTTTTGATGCAATTAAAGAATAAATGACTGTTTATTAACTAGCATTGAAAGCTGCTAAGTAGTAAGAATAGAGCGGTATATTGGGGAGCATACGCATGTGGACACTGGAAGAGATGGGAGGAGGTTCGGAGTTTGTTCCTCTGTTACCAGTACTTTCGTCTCTTACTTTCCTCGAAATTAAGCTAGCTTTATCGTCTACTAATAGGGTGATTAGAAGTGTATTCGTTTAAAAAATAAAATACTATTAAAAATCACAGCTAACAAATTGCATTAGGGTGGAGTTGAAATTCGCCAATTGCTTCCTAAACCGGTAGAGAATTTAGTATATGAAATGTGGCATTGGATAATGAATGGCAAATCTTGACGTATTATTGCTCTGTAAAAGTAAATTTGCATATTTCAACCAATGGATATGATCTAGTTTGTTATTTTATTGATATTAATTGTAAAATCCAGATAATTTAGTTATCGATTATTGTGACCGAATTTAATTTATTTATAATTTTATTTACTATCACCAGGGTACATTAGTTAGCTATTACACATATTTATAATGCATTGTCGAGCACTGAGAGACTGAGAGAAATATTTTTAAAAAGATACAATTTCGTCACCGTTTTACAGCTCATTTGCCAAATTGTTCTCGTTTCCATTAGAAGCTACTGGGTCACCAATTATTATTATTATTATTATTTCAAATGGCAGGCTTCGTGATATTTATCATTAGCCCTTAAACTTTGACTTCCGGTTCTTCCAAGGGTGGAGGATACATTTATAGAAGTTAATTAATAGCAATTCATTAGCTGTCTTCTTGCTTCCCAGTATCTCTGGCTTTCCGTCGTTGTCTTTTTTTACGGCTGGACACCGAATCAGGTGGGTCTTCT